CCGGATCCATTTTTTGCTTATTCCAAAGGGGTACCATCACACATTTCGGCGATTTTTCCTAAATGTTATTCTCTTTCGATTTTGGGGGTACAGATAACAGATTCAGTTTGAGGCTATTCTCCACCGATAATGAAGTCTATTGATCCTATTCTCCACCAATGATTAAGTCCATTAAGCGCAGAATTGGGCCAATTTAATTTAGCATGGCATTTCTCGTAATTCTTTGGGCCATTTTTTTCGAAAGACCATTTTCTTGGTTTATAAAGGCTACCTATCACATATTCGTCCTATGGCTATTCTTCAACAAGGATTAAGTCCATTAAGCACGAGTTTGGGCGGATTTCTTCTAGACCCATTTTTGGCAGATTCCAAAGGGGTACCATCACAGATTTCAGACGATTTTTCTGAAATGTTATTTTCTTTCGATTTGGAGGTTACGGATCACGAATTTAGTCTAAGGCTATTCTCCACCGATAATGAAGTCTATTGATCCTATTCTCCACCAATGATTAGGTCGATTAAGCACAAATTTGGGCTAATTTATTTTGGGGTGACATTATTGTAATTCTTCGGGCGATTTTTTTCTTCGAAAGATCATTTTCCTTGGATTTGGAAGGCTACACATCACGGATTCGGCCTTGGTTTATTCTTCAACGACGATTAAGTCTATTAAGCACGGATTTGTGCAGATTTGTCTGAATCCATTTTTTGCAGATTCCAATGGGGGACCATCACTGATTTCGGGCGATTTTTCCGAAATGATATTTTCTTTCGATTGTGGAGGATACAGATAACAGATTCAATCTGAGGCTATTCTCCACCGATAATGAGATCTATTGATCCTATTCTCCACCAATGATTAAGTGCATTAAACACAAAATTGGGCCAATTTATTTTGGGATGGCATTTTCGTAATTCTTTCGGCGTTTTTTTTAAATGCCATTTTCCTTGGAATTTGAATGCTAAAGATGACGGATTTGGCCAAGGTCATTCTTCAACGACGATTAAGTCTATTAAGCACGGATTTTGTCAGAGTTCATTTTTGGAAAATTCCAAAGGGGTACCATCACATATTTCGCGCAATTTTTCAGAAATGTCAATTTCTTTCGATTTTGGAGGCTATAGATAATGGATTCAGCTCGAGGTTATTCTCCACGATAATAAAGAATATAGATCTTATTCTCCACCAATGATTAAGTCCAATAAGCATAAAGTTGAGCTAATTTATTTTGGGATGACATTTTCGTAATACTTTGGGCGATTTTTTTTCGAAAGGACATTTTCCTTGGATTTTGTTGGCTACAGATCACGAATTCAGTCTTAGCCTATTATTAAACAATGATTAAGTCTATTAAGCACGGATTTGGGTGGATTTCGTCCGAGACCATTTTTGGCAGATTCCAAAAGAGTACCTTCACAGATTTCGGGTGATTTTTCCAAAATGTCATTTTCTTTCCATTTTTAATGCTACAAATAATGGATTTAGTTCGAGGTTATTCTCCACGATAGTAAAGTCTATTGATCCTATTCTCCACCAATGATTAAGTCCATTAAGCACAGAATTGAGCCAATTTATTTTAGGATGACATTTTTCGTAATTCTCTGGGGTTTTTAAAAGGGCATTTTCCTTGAATTTTGTAGGCTACAGATCACGAATTCGCCCTTAGGTTATTCTTCAACCACGATTAAGTCTATTAAGCACGGATTTGGGCGGATTTCGTCAGAGTCCAGTTTTTGCAGATTCCAAAGGGCATCACAAATTTCGTGCGATTTTTCCGAAATGTCATTTTTTCGACTTTGTAGGCTACAGATAACGGATTCAGTTCAAGGTTATTCTCCACGATAATAAAGTCTATTGATCCTATTTTCCACCAATGATTAAGTCCATTAAGCACATAATTGAGCCAATTTATTTTGTGATAGCATTTTTCGTAATTCTTTGGGTGATTTTTATTTCAAAAGGCCATTTTCTTTGGATTTTGAAGGCTACAGATCAAGGATTCGGCCTGAGACTATTCTTCAATGACGATTAAGTCCATTAAGCACAGATTTGGGCGGATATTTCCAGGTCCATTTTTGGCTTATTCCAAAGGGGTACCATCACATATTTCGAAGATTTTTCGTAAATGTAATTTTCTTTCTATTTTGGGTGCTACAGATAACAAATTCAGTTTGAGGTTATTCTCCACCGATAGTGAATTCTATTGATCCTATTCTACACCAATGATCAAGTCCATTAAGCACATAATTTAGCCAATTTATTTTAAGATAGCATTTTTCGTAATTCTTTGGTGATTTTTTTTTCAAAAGACCATTTGCTTTGGATTTTGAAGACTACAGATCACGGAATCGGCCTGAGACTATTCTTCACTGACGATTTAGTCCATTAAGCACAGATTTGTGCGGATTTTTTTCCGGATCCATTTTTGGCTTATTCCAAAGGGGTACCATCACAAATTTCGGCGATTTTTCCTAAATGTTATTCTCTTTCGATTTTGGGGAGTACAGATAACGGATTTAGTTTGAGGCTATTCTCCACCGATAATGAAGTCTATTGATCCTATTCTCCACCAATGATTAAGTCCATTAAGCGCAGAATTGGGCCAATTTAATTTAGCATGGCATTTCTCGTAATTCTTTGCGCCATTTTTTTCGAAAGACCATTTTCTTGGTTTATAAAGGCTACCTATCACATATTCGTCCTATGGCTATCTTCAACAAGGATTAAGTCCATTAAGCACGAGTTTGGGCGGATTTCTTCTAGACCCATTTTTGGCAGATTCCAAAGGGGTACCATCACAGATTTCAGACGATTTTTCTGAAATGTTATTTTCTTTCGATTTGGATGTTACGGATCACGGATTTAGTCTGATGCTATTCTCCACCGATAATGAAGTCTATTGATTCTATTCTCCACCAATGATTAAGTCGATTAAGCACAAATTTGGGCTAATTTATTTTGGGGTGACATTATTGTAATTCTTTGGGCGATTTTTTTCTTCGAAAGATCATTTTCCTTGAATTTTGAAGGTTACACATCACGGATTAGGCCTTGGTTTATTCTTCAACGACGATTAAGTCTATTAAGCATGGATTTGCGCAGATTTGTCTGAATCCATTTTTCGCAGATTCCAATGGGGGACCATCACCGATTTCGGGCGATTTTTCCGAAATGATATTTTCGTTCGATTGTGGAGGATACAGATAACAGATTCAATCTGAGGCTATTCTTCACCGATAATGAGATCTATTGATCCTATTCTCCACCAATGATTAAGTGCATTAAACACAAAATTGGGCCAATTTATTTTGGGATGACATTTTCGTAATTCTTTCGGCGTTTTTTTTAAATGCCATTTTCCTTGGAATTTGAATGCTACAGATGACGGATTTGGCCTTAGGCTATTCTTCAACGACGATTAAGTCTATTAAGCACGGATTTCGTCCGAGTTCATTTTTGGAAAATTCCAAAGGGGTACCATCATATATTTCGCGCAATTTTTCAGAAATGTCAATTTCTTTCGATTTTGGAGGCTATAGATAGTGGATTCAGCTCGAGGTTATTCTCCACGATAATAAAGTATATTGATCCTATTCTCCACCAATGATTAAGTCCAATAAGCATAAAGTTGAGCAAATTTATTTTGGGATGACATTTTCGTAATACTTTGGGCGATTTTTTTTCGAAAGGACATTTTCCTTGGATTTTGTTGGCTACAGATCACGAATTCAGTCTTAGCCTATTCTTCAACAATGATTAAGTCTATTAAGCACGGATTTGGGTGGATTTCGTCCGAGACCATTTTTGGCAGATTCCAAAAGGGTACCTTCACAGATTTCGGGTGATTTTTCCAAAATGTCATTTTCTTTCGATTTTGAATGCTACAAATAATGGATTTAGTTCGAGGTTATTCTCCACGATAAATAAAGTCTATTGATCCTATTCTCCACCAATGATTAAGTCCATTAAGCACAGAATTGAGCCAATTTATTTTAGGATGACATTTTTTCGTAATTCTCTGGGTTTTTTAAAAGGGCATTTTCCTTGAATATTCTAGGCTACAGATCACGAATTCGCCCTTAGGTTATTCTTCAACCACGATTAAGTCTATTAAGCACGGATTTGGGCGGATTTCGTCTGAGTGTAGTTTTTGCAGATTCCAAAGGGCATCACAAATTTCGTGCGATTTTTCCGAAATGTCATTTTTTTCGATTTTGGAGGCTACAGATAATGGATTCAGTTCGAGGTTATTCTCCACGATAATAAAGTCTATTGATCCTATTCTCCACCAATGATTAAGTCCATTAAGCACAGAATTGAGCTAATTTATTTTGTGATAGCATTTTTCGTAATTATTTGGGCGATTTTTTTTCAAAAGGCAATTTTCTTTGGATTTTGAAGGCTACAAATCAAGGATTCGGCCTGAGACTATTCTTCAATGACGATTAAGTCCATTAAGCACAGATTTGGGCGGATATTTCCGGGTCCATTTTTGGCTTATTCCAAAGGGGTATCATCACATATTTCGAAGATTTTTCGTAAATGTAATTTTCTTTCGACTTTGGGTGCTACAGATAACAGATTCAGTTTGAGGTTATTCTCCACCGATAGTGAATTCTATTTATCCTATTCTCCATCGATGATTAAGTTTATTAAGCGCCGAATTGGACTAATTTATTTTGGGATGGCATTTTCGTACTTTTTTGGACATTTATTTTTTTTCGAAATGCCATTTTTCTTGAATTTTGAAGTCTACAGATCACGGATTCAGCCATAAGGCGATTATCCAATGAAGATTAAGTCCATTAAACATCAATTTGGACAGATAAACTAGTTTTTTTTTGTAATTATAAGTGACCCGTTTTCATAAACGAGTTTATATCGATTACCCATCTGTTAATCGCTAAATCTCTTCCTATTCCGGATCGATGTGTGATCAAGTTTTTACAACATTAAATCACATACTACAATTTTCGTACTACATTTTCCACGAAAATTGTGCATCATCAAAATTTTATTCATCACTTTAGCTTCACCAATGCAACACATCCATAATCGATGTAACATTATTTCCTCCACCCTAATAAATTGATTAAACTACGCAAGCTACATCTAAAACCAATCAAAACCACTTAACTAGCACAAACGTCGAAATCAGCAAACAGCATCTTACAAGTGCTGTGTTTCTCCTCAATCCGCCCGCCGGTGAAGTACCTGCATTTCCCGTCCATGAAGTTCTTGGCGGCGATGAGGCAGCGGTTGCATGTGTCGGTGGCCGGATCGACGAGGCACTCGACTCGAGCCCACATGGTGGCCTTGTCCCTCGTCTCCCTGATGCACGTCAATGGCTGGGACCGGTACCGCGGCTGCCAGTGGAGCTTGACCAGGTCCGAGAGGATGTTGGTTCGCGTCTGTCCTAGCCCGCTCCATTCTTCAATCGGGACGTTGCTGCAGTAGTTGTAGGGGAACGAGAAGCCCCAGTCGGCTGCATTAGCGACAACGATGAAGTCGTCTCTAATGGACGTGCCGATTACGAAGACGACAGTCAAGAATCGAAGGAAGCTCCCCATTTCGAACGTACGGAATTGTCTGTGGTGTGAGAACTGTAACGAATCTAAGATTTTGTTTGTTGGAATTTGTCGTTATGTTTTTCTTGCTTATATAGACTGTTATGGCAAATGTGTGTGTATGTCGTGGATGGATTCAACCACAATATTAGATCTGGTAAGATTGTTATCGTCCCGCAATCTCATCCACGATATGCGCTATGTCAATAACAACATAAGACTAAACTTTAATCAAGATTTTGGTAATAGAACTAATTTTAGTATATGTGCTAATCAGAGTAACATTTTAAGTAATTTTTGTAAAATTACATGGAATTTAGGTAATATACAGTGGCGGATCCAGGGGGTGGCCACCCCGGGCCCCGGCCCAGCCCTCCTCTGGATCTATAGTTAGTACAGGCCTTATGAATTTTTCGATTTTAGATATTCGGGTTATTGTTATTTTAAAATAAGATTGGGTATAATTTGAAAAATAATTCAGATGAACATATTCAAAATCACTATTCTAAATTTAGCTTATAAATTCTAACCCCAAAGGTTATTCGTCTAAAAAAACAATGAAACCTAAAAATTCAAAAAAATTAAACCGTAAAAGACTAAAACATATATGAGGTTTGTTACCTTGGAAAATTTACTAGAGCAGCTGGTGGATATAGGGATGGAAACACAATGCAAATTGATTAGTAGATTGATTTGTCTAGTGTTGATGCTCCTCGTTTCAATAGCTAATACGAATAGAACCTTTTCAACAACGAAACATGTGAAAATTGATTTGCACAACAAAATGAGCGATGGATTTCTAGTCGATTGCTCAAGTATTTTATTTGAAACAGTGTATACTATTGGTATGGATGTGGACTCCATTATAATCATTATATTTTTTTACTATTTTAATTTTCTAATAAAATGCGGCCCAGTGCACTTCTGTGTTCTGGATCCGCCGCTGGTAATATATAGCTGGCTGAGAATGAGGTGGGTGGGGGCATGACAATTGTTTGAGGAGAATATTTATGCACGTCCCATCCCAAAAACAGATCAAACATATAAGATAAAACGAGTTAGGTCAAAATCGTCATCATTGGCTTTGGTATTATTGAGATTGGCTATGTCCTATTGTACTTTTAGTATGTACTATTGACACATTGCAATTCAAATAAAAAACATCTTACGGTAATCATATAAGTGTTATTAAATCCGGATCGAACTAGTTCAATTGAAAATTACCAAACTAGATGACAAATCCGATATGAAGAGTCTCAAACTGGGATCAGGGCTGGTCTATAGCGTGTGTGCTAGTCGGCCCTCCGGCACAGAGCCTCCAAATATTAGGGGCCTCCATCTAGATTCGTTAGTTAAATCAGATAGTATATTGTAGGTTATATTTCTAGTGTACGATTAATTGATTAGTGGAATGATGATAGATTTAATTATATTAATTATACTAGTGTTAGTTATTGATTAATAATCTCATGTATATATAGTATATACACTAAACACGTATATTGATGGTTAAAGTACGATTTCTGATTCGAAAATCGTATTTGTATTAACAATAATACAAAAAATCTTAATGAAATAGCTATGATGACAATTGATAATGATCTCATGGAGACTAAAAAAGAAAGATATTATATTTTGAATAATAATATTATAATCATTTTAGTTTTAATAACTTATACAAAGATCCCATGGGCCAAATCTCAATTTTGGAACAAGGCCTCCACGATCCATTGGACGGCTCTGACTGGGACAAATCATTAGTGATGTCAATCACTAATCTAATCCGCGAGACCCTACCTCCCTCAACCTGTTTGCGGTGGGTATTGTCATAAACCCATTGGTCCCAATAACTCGAGTTGTTGAGGGAAGGTTATGATGGATCTTATATAATTTTCTAACACGCCCCCTCAAATGAAAGCCAACCCATGGGCTTGGAGTTTGCACAAGTGATCACCATACCTTGTTCTTTAATCAACTATTAATTTTGGGGGTCGTGGAGATCTGAACACACGACCAATTGGTCAAAGCAGTTCTGATAACAATGTCATAAACCAGTTGGTCCAAATAACTCGAGTTGTTGGGAGAAAGCTATGTTTGATCTTATGCCATTCTCTAACAGGTATTACCCAACCCACAATAGTGTGGGGCGGGACATGAGTATTGCTTCCTACCTATCTTGTTTCGCCTAGTTCTCGATCCGTTCATTTATAATTTGCATAAATTTCCACATGTATTTCATCTCCTTTAACCTTTCTAAAATCATATTTACATCTCAAAAAAAATTAAAACTTTATATTTCAACTATTTAGACTAAATTATTCCTTCTACTGTATTTATCATTCATTTATGAAGTTTCTTTTCCAAATATCAATGTTATTCCATCTACTAAAATTATTTACTACATTCTCCACAGAAAAAAATTGTGCATCATCAAAATCTTATTCATCTCTTTAGCTTCATCCATCATACCACTTAATACAATGCAATAATGCACTACATCCACAATCGATATAAAAAAAATTATTTGCCTCTCTAATAAATCGATTAAGCTACGTAAGCTACATCTAAAACCATTCAAACCCACTTAACTAGCACAAACGTCGAAATCAGCAAACAGCATCTTACAAGTGCTGTACTTCTCCTCAATACGCCCGCCGGTGAAGTACCTGCAGTTGCCGTCCATGAAGTTCTTGGCGGCGATGAGGCAGCGGTTGCATGTGTCGGTGGCCGGATCGACGGCGCACTCCACTCGAGCCCACATGGTGGCCTTGTCCCTCGTCTCCCTGATGCACGTCAATGGCTGGGACCGGTACCGCGGCTGCCAGTGGAGCTTCACCAGGTCCGAGAGGATGTTGTTCCGCGCCTGTCCTAGCCCGCTCCATTCTTCGATCGGTACGTTGCTGCAGTAGTTGTAGGGGAACGAGAAGCCCCAGTCGGCTGCATCAGCGACGACTATGCACGTGCCGATCAGGAAGACGACGGCCATGATTCGAAGCAAGCTCCCCATTTTTGTGGTATTGTCTGTAGTATTGGGAACTGTAATGGATATGAGATTTAGTTTGTTTTTGGAATTTGTCGTTATGTTTTTCCTGTTTATATAGACTGTTGTGGCAATCGTGTTGTGTATGTCGTGGATGGTTTCAGCCACAATGTTCGATCCGGTGAGGTTGTTATTGTCCCGCTACATCATCCACGATGTACGCTATGTTAATAATAGTATATAAGACTAAACTGTAATCAAGATTTCGTTAATACTTAATAGAACTAATTTTAGTATATGATCAACATAAGATTTTGTTTTTTTAAAAATCTTGTTGTCTCGAGTGTATATGCTTATATGGTTTGCTTTGTTGATACACAAATTTTGTATGTTGTTCCTTTTGAGTTATAATATGAACTACCCATTCATTTGCTTAAATGACACCTTATAATGATAACATATTTCATTTTTATCTGAAAATAAAAATACGAAATACCCGTTTAACGAAGAAGAAAAACAACGATCTTATATATGTGGGTTATTATTAGTTTTATTTTGTAGAAATATGATGCTAATAATTTGTTGATGATAATAATTTGTGCTTTCCTCGGAGACAACATACATAGTACAAATAACACTGGCCAGCCAAAATTTGCCACTAAACAAAAACAATATGCCAAGTGACATAATTGAATGCCTATTTTGCTCAGGATACCATTCTCTCACAAAATTGCCCTTGTCAATCATTTTTCACTCTTACCACCTGAGATAATTCAGAGTTACATCTTAAACGCCATCATCTTCCATACACTTCAACAAATGCAAACATGTCTCCTATGATCTTCTCTTTTTACTGGACTTCGATCCCTTGTGACCATCTTCTTTACCTCTCTTCTTCCCAGACTGGTCTTTGTCCCCTTTCCCATGTTTCTTCTCAACCTTGGCAGTAGATTTCAAGCTCACCACAGCGCCCGAGGTTAAGTTAATCCCGCCATCTCGTAGTGCCTCCTCGAAATCCGCATCCCTTCCCTCTATCGCATACTGCTGGAGGATACCCAAATCTTTCTCCTCGCCATTCACCATCTCCTCGGCCACCTTGTTCTTCATCTTAGCCTGCGAGCTTAGGTTTACACAGCACAGTCAGGCATTGGTACATTGTGAAAAATGGGTTGATTAGTTAAGAAGATGAACACACACAAGCACCTTGACTTGCTTTGCTGCTTCATCGAGTTCATCATCTACCGAAATGGTGAGAGGTTCCAGTTGTGTCTGAAAAAGGTGAAATCATAATAACCGGGTTAAAAGAAGCTCAGCCCACGCAATAGTGGTGACCACAGATATTTATTGGATATTATTTTCTTTTTACTCTATTAATAGTGTTTTGCCGTGGTCTTACCTCTTTCAATCGGGGAAGAGTTGATTGGATCTCATCGGATGCAACACCGTGGAGATGATGATGGATCTTCTTCATGGCTTTCATGAAATTTGACAAAATTAAAGTTCTTTCCAACTTCAGTTGTTCCTGCAAATAACAACAGAACTTGCTATCATAGAGCTTCAAAAAATCCTTCAAGATGCACAAAGAAAATGCATCAGCAAGCCATAGATTTTCAAAACCACCCAAATGGAGTTAGAAATAAAACCAACATAACAGTAACACCATCCATCTCCATCAGGTTTTTCATCTAGACAACCCGGAAAAGTCAACTTACCCAACTGAATATACTAACAATAAAGGCACATCGCCCTCTAATTAGATAGCTCATGTAAAGGGAGGAAGGATTAGGATTGTTTTTGGTAATATACATAGAAACTGGGTCGAAGGGTTTGCCTCGGATTGTGTATGGACCAAAACAGAATGCTCAAGTCAGCGCATATAGTGTTTCTACTATGGGTTTCCCTTGGATTGTGTATGGACCAAAATAGAAAGCTCATGTCAACGCATTAGAGACTATGCCCTTTTCTACTTGTTAATTTGAGCAAGGCATAAAGCCAGTCCAGACCATTTGAGGAGTATTCTAATCGAGATGGACAGAGTGAACATTATGCTTGTTAGAAAACCAAAGCTAAATGACAAAGTTGTTAGTAACCCTAGAGTTTAGTTGCCATTTATTAATCTGACCGATTTCATGAGTCAGCAAACTACAAATAGCATCTACTGCAGTTGAAAAACTTACCTCAACATGAGTAAAATTCTGCTGCTGCAAGCCAATGCAAAGTAGAACACTCGCCTGAACGGGAGACAATGTGACCGGGAGCTTTCCTCTGAAGTACAGGCGAGCAAGTACTGGAACAATGTCTAAAATCTAGAAAAGAGAAAGAAAAGGAAGTTATTTTCTTGCTCACGTAAAGACATAGTTTTCATAAAAATATTCAGAGCAGTAGCATAGTAAAAATTCGGAGCAGTTAAAAAGAATCAAGGCCTTACCAAATGAAAATCAACAAGACTATCAGTGTAAGCCCTCAGACGTTCCATGTCATAAGGAGATAGATCTTCAGTGAGTGATTTCCAGAATCCATCTGGGACAGATTTTTTCTGATTCGCCTCCATATTCGTGAAGTTGATTTTAGGATCGAGGACCCTGTGAGATGAAGGATAATATGACGAGGATCAGAACAGGAAAAACTGAACTGAGCATAACCATTACTGACGACAAAATCCATAAAAATCTAACACGCTTTATGAAAAAATATTCACAAGTTACAATTTTGCTGTTACTAACTTACTATTGCTTCTTGACGGTCTTACAAGTCTAACACCATCAAAGTATTAATATGGATCTTTTGAAGTCACAATGTTCCTGACCTCTAGAAGTTACAATCTTGCCCGGTAAAATCTACCTATAGATTATACTTTTGCAATAAAACCAATTTGTATTACACTAGTCATTTAATCTTCAAGTGTAAGGACTACTTGTCCAAAACATTTTGCTTTGGAAAATCTAGTCCAATTCCACCTAATTCTTTTGACATGTTTGATAAAATTATTCATTTATTCCACACTATTTCCCATACCTTTAATTTGAACCATAGTCATATCAATATTAATATTTTGATGTACACCTATCCGGTATTCATGGTTATTTTTATAGGACACTGAAGACGTTCCGGGTCTACACAAAATCACGATTTTTAAGACTATGACTATTTCATTACTAACCTCATAGCAAGACTGCATTCCATTGATCGGAAGCTGGAACTCAAAAGTCTAAGAAACCTTAGCCTGAAATCTGAATATTACACCATATCGAGCATTAGACATAAACAGTAATAATGATAAGAAAAGCGGGGAAGGTAAATTACAAAGGAGAAGCCAACCTTGGTAGAAAGGACCAAAAAAGCCCCATTCATCAGACTTATCAACTTCAACAGCACCATTTTTCAATGGTTTGAGGATCATGCATGTATGTTCACCAGTAACAGCACTCTGTCGAAAGAAAACTCAGAAATTTTAGGTCACACACTTTGTGGAATGAAGAATTCCAAACTAACAAATACTAGAGAATTGCAACTCAACTGGAATTTGACCAATGTAGAATGGAGCAAATTTATGTTTACTCCAAAAGTTAAGAAGATCCAAAGTAAGCCCAAAGGAGACAGCGAGGTACTCGAGCTTCTCAGGCTGTCGTTCACCAAGACGTACTAACAGAGGTGGAAGGTTTGTTCTTGGTTTTATATTTTCTTCAAGCAGTGAAGCCTGGAAAAATAGTATGAGAACAACTAAGTTCTTGCTCGGCACATAAAAGAATGAAATGCTAATAATGAAGTAACCAACCTTCTCTGCAGCTTCTGTAACTCTAACTTGAGGAGTCTCAACCAGATCATCCTCAGCATCTAATTCAGAAATACCAGTCAGTTCGCCCTCGTAGTACCTGCAGAAAACTTTCACGATATTCAAAAACCTTGTGCTTTGAAGAGGAAAACTATTTATATCAACAGTACCTCAAGAGTAAATCCTGACAGCACAACCATAAAAAAAAATCCTGACAGCAGAGCAACATATGATTGGTAGTTTGGATGGTGGAATTAGATGATGGTATCTGGTCTATTATCCAACAAATGATGGAATCGATTTAATTCCATCGAATGAGGGAAAGTAGGGGATGAGATTCTAATCATTTGATCATCCTTACTACCAATAACCCGTTGGAAAAAACTATGATTCACAATCTTGAATCTTCCAACTATATAAGGCAAGTTAATGTCACCCCGGCAGTCCTCATTTTTCGTCATCAATTGGATCCTCTTCTCCCACGGCCATTGTCGACCACAATGGAAGAAGGCCAAAGGATTCAAATGAGAATATAAAAATAAAGGCTAAGAGCAAAAATATTTTTTCCCCTTTGAAGATAAATTTCATCATCTACATTCCGCCTACAAACACATCCAAACAGAGAAATTTAGACACCCCAATCATTTCACCGTCTCATCCCAAATTACCAGAGTGCTTTCAGCCAAAAATTTAGCCATTCAAATTTTTATATGCAGTTCTTCCATGTAATATAGTATTTCTTATTACCCTCTTTAGAAGAGAGGTACCATGCAGGGCATCTATCTGTTGGAAATCTACAAAGCACAGATCACCCGACAATTGTTAATGGCTCTCCAATGTGGTTGTCCTGTAGGCGTTTCTCTGTAAGAGAAACCTTAAGGATCCAACTATCCCTAAAGAAATGGAGAAACAAAGAACCAAAGCATTTCCCTGTTGGAAGGCCAGGAAGAGAAACCCTAAGGAGCCAAGTGTGTCCCAGAAGAAATGGAGCAACACAGAGCCAAAGGATTTCTGTTGCAGTATATCCTAGTTTCTTTGGAAAGTTGACCAGGAAGATAGACCCTGTAGTACGAAAACGGGCGATACCAGGATACAATATGTTGCATATGTAAGTAAATAAAAGGTTTCCGTACCTTGTCAAGAGGTTCACGGCAGCGGATCCATATCCAAACTGCAAATATAAAACCAAACTGTTATGGAACTATGGAAAGGACAAAATAAAGAACCCCAAAACATGCATTTCTAGGATCGGGAAACTACCTTCATGGCACTTGGATGGGTGGCAATTCTTACAATACGAGCTCCAGAGAGGCTAGGGAATGTGGTATCCCTGAACTGCTCAGAGAATTTCCAAGGGATTTGGTCCCCATGAGGTTGGTGACCTTCACTTAAGCTTTTCATCACAGATCTACGAGATATATGGCCCTCAAGGCAGACCTACC